AGGTGATTTGTCACACATCTTCAGTTACTTTTGACTTTAGTCGAATATGTGTGGCTAAATCCCATGCTCTGCTTTGAAAGTATCACCCTCAGACTGTGTGTGGAAATCTGTAAGCTTTTCCAGTATACATTAAAATGTACTGTACTAGTAACTTTCTTTATACCTGTTTAAATGTAAAGCTGGAAACAATTTTTATAAATTTATGAAGTTCACAATGGCTCATGTTACGCTATCCTTGATTGATGCTGGCAGGCCAGATGCCGCTCTTGTCAAGACTGCAAACGTTAGCGAAGAACTAACAAAATCATAGCTGGAGACCAGACCAGTTCACCTGTATGTTAATTTTGCTAACAATAGGTATTTCTCATATAAGAATGTATGTAGCGTTTAGACTCTATGAAATGCTTGTAAGTTTCTGCATGCATTAATCTCACTTGCAATGTCTGTATTCTGTGCTATAGGAAAATATGTAAATTTTGCTTTATAACTTCGAAAACCCAGGTATGGGAATCGTCCTTCCCCCACCCCCACCCATCCAGAAGCACTGTCAAAATCAGATGGGCCATCAACAAATATCTCAATATAAATGATGGGTTAATGGCCCTATCTCATCTTGGAAATTCTATGTGCAAGGAAGCTCGTCCTATGGATTTGGAAGCTGAGTGAAGGAAATAAAACAAGTCATAGGAAAAATTTCCATCTTTTTTGGCTGTTTGAACTCTGAAAGGGCCAGACACTCTGAGGCAGAGATCCCCAGGGGTTACCCCTAGGTCTGCCCTCAATGACATTTTGAATTGATAGATACAGCTCTGTCACTCTTAGGATTTAGATGATAACTCATTTGTGTGTGTATGTTTGCTTGCTTTAACCTGTAAATAATGCTTATTCCTTTTTTCCTGGTTAATAAACCTTTAGATAGTTTATTACAGGATTGGCTACAGAATTGTCTTTGGTGTAAGAGGTAGGGTACCAGTTGATCTAGGGGCAAGTGACTCGTCTCTTAGGACTGGGAGCAACGTGACCATTTATCACTAAATCCATTTTGTCTGCGTGGTAATTTAGACTGGAGAGTCAAGGGGACTGCCTGTGACTCTGTAGTAAGACTGTTACAGTGACCCAGGAGTTCACATTTCTTACTGGCTTGGTGAAATCTAATTATAGAACACATCACCAGTTTGGGGTGTCTGCCCTGTTTTCTGATGGTTTGCCCTGAGGTAGGCACTCACAGTTGTGAGGCACTCCAGACAGCGTGACAGTTCACAGTGGCTCATGTTATGCCATCCTCGATTTAACAAAACTCGTATTGATGAAACTAGAAAGTTGGCTCCAGATGAAGAGCGTATAACACAAATATCCTTTAGCTCTCTAGTCTATGCAGTTGTGTGTGTGTGTGCATGCATGTGCACACGTGATATCAATATGTACATATAAATAATCAAAGTATTTTGATAACTTGTTCAGAGCAGCAATAATTTTGCAGCTTCTCAGCTGCTGTGGGATGGGATTAAGTTTAAATTTCCCAGATCACCTACAATAGGAAATAAATGGACAAGAAAACTTTCATTTGATACTTCAAAATCCACAAAGCATATGTATTTTATAAAAGTTATAAATGAACCACAACTTTCTATCTGATTACTTACATTAGATATATAATTGTATATTTTAACTGTTGCATATGAGTAAAGTTATTTTTGTTGTTCTCAAAATTTATGTATGGCCTACACCTTTAAGGTATTACCATATGAGGTACAATAACTAACAAGAGGTCTCAAAGTCCAGTTTGTTGTCTAACATGTGGTACTACTTTTATTGGAGCTGCTAATTTGGTTCAGGTCTGCTTGGCACTTGGGATAGCAAAACACCCTTCTATATAAGGATTCAATTACTTCCCTGCTCATTAGACATGTGAGGTGAAATTCTTCCCTTAGTACACTGGTATGACTCATTGTTATATGTAAAGCAGAACAGAATTTGGTGCAGTGAGCAGGTGAGTAAATAAAACAGTACTTCAACAGTCTGCCTCTCCGAAGAACGTGTTTGGAAACAGCCCTGAATCTTAGTTTGTCTACATAGAGATTGTTTCTTATTAGCTATTCTTTGTCTTAAGTGTATTCAGCTAATTTAGTTTACAGCACTCTTATTCCAGGATAGGGAGTATTCACGCATGGAGTTAATCAGGAATAATTAATTTTAAAGTCACACCCTACATTATTCAGGATTAGTTTTCATGTGTAAAGCTCTTGGTAACTGCAATGGGCATTGTACTAGTGTAACTTTGAGAGTAGAATTGGCCCTTTTACTTTGAGAGTAGAAGAGGTGCATTTTGAAGCCAAATGCCACCTATTGCCTGTTTGCAGTGTTATCATATTTACTGCATTTTTTAAATTACAATCTGGTGCCATATCCTGCTGTCCCATGGGAAAAATCCACAGGAACAGCCCTGTTGAGAGAGAATCAGAGGCTCTCCTCGGTTTCCTCCAAGTTCTTCAGTTTTGGGGGCAAGATAATTCTCACTCATAGGAAACATAATGCCTAGCCCTTATATAGTATTTTTCATCAGTAGATCTCAATGTGCTTTCCAAAGAGGATTAGTATCCTTATCCCCATATTACAGATGGGGAAACTGAAGTACAAAGAGGGAAAGGGCTACATCCTCAAAGAGACTTAGGTGTGGCAACAATGAGTGTTGCAATACCCAACTTTTAAGCACACAGTAGACTCCTCAACCTGCCCAGGTTTGGTGATTAGGCTCCCTATACAATGGACAGGGAGAGAGAGGTGCCTAAAAAAGGGGTTCACAGAAGCTAGCAAGCAGAGCAGGGAGCAGCTTGAGCTAGCCAGTAGGAAATGTTGGAGAAGGGTGCGGCCAAGTCCAGCACTTCAGAGGTAGTTAGGCGCCTAATTTAACACGGAGGGAGGGAGCCTTCCCAAAGGGGGGGTTCCCTCGCTGCCCATGAATGAATGGTCAGTTAATGTTCACTTGAAAGCTAGGATGATTGATTTTAACAGCTGTTTATAAAATAGTTGCCATTATGATCTGTTCTGTTTAGATTCTTATACTGCATGCATCTTCACCATGGTATCTGAGTGCCTTCCAATAATGAAGTAAATTGGTGCTTAATATCTCTCATGTATCACTCCTCCCTATTCAGCTCCCTAGAGAAAATTTTCATGTTCTGGATTTTTTTTAAGCTAATGTGCTCTATACTGTTTGAACAAAAGGCTGAAAGAAGAAATGAGCTTTTCATTTGGGCTAGAAAGTGGAAAGGTTTGAGGGAAATCTTAGTTCCTGGAGGAACAAGTTCCACAGTCCCAATGGAGGTTCAGTCTCCTGCACAAATAGATTTTGCCCTTACAAACAGTTTTTGCCCTTGCCTTTGTCTGTGACTAGATAGACAATTGTGCCAGGAGTGAGGTTGTTAACAGCAAAGTCCCAGAGTTTGAGGCAGTCTTTTGAGTTCTGAGCTCAGATCATCTAGCACACTGAAAATAAAGATCTACAGCTTAAACTTGTCATGGTGTTCTACAGGAAGCCAGCGGCATGAACAGAGTACTGGGATGATTTGCTTATCACAGGTGTTGCTGAAGATGCAATTTGCTGCATTCTGCACCAGTTGGGAGTTTCCTCAGGACTGAGTCTCTCAAACCTAGGTATATTGCATTGATGTATTACAGATGGGAGGGAACAAAGGCATGTACTACTGAAGCCAGGTCATCCTCTGCCTTGCTGTGACAGTCTTCTAGCCAGCTGGAGAGGATAAAGTATTGTATGGACACTGCCGCATGAGAGCTCAGCGTTGATGAAGGGTCCAGAAGTACTCCTAAGCTGCATGTTGATTTGATGTGGTATGATTGTGTCTCCAACTGGTGGAGTCTATACCATGGATGTAACCTTTTCAGAGTGTTTCCTTCTGCCAGTCTGTGTCATCTTTTGTCTTGCTAGGGTTTAACATCAATCTGCTCCTCCTCATTCATCTGCACATTGCAGACAGTTATCTGAATGGTACTGGCGTTATCAGTGTTATTTGAGTCCATGAAGTCCAACCATTTCTTCCAGCAAGTGCATTTAATGTTGAATAAGTTTGCATGGGGAATCAAGCTGTGCAAAAGAAAGATCTGATGGCTGAGAAACAATTTTCCCATTACTACTTTCTAAGCACATCCTTCCTGGAAAAAGTCTAATCATTTAAGTGTATTTCATATGACCCCTGCCATGTGGACGGTGAATAAAGTAAACTCTGGCTGACTCTATAGTAGGCTTAGTATCCAGGTTGTTTACTGGCCTGTTGAAGATGTTGCATCTAATCTTCACATATGAAAGCCACTATTGCCAAAACATTTGATTCTGTCACACAAGAATCTGTTCAAGATACTGTTGCACAAAAATCTGTTTGTCACTTAAAGCAATAATTTTTGTCTGTTTTTTCCATGCTAAATGCTAACTTCTCAGTTAACATGTTCATAGTTTTTTCCTTTTTGAAACTGGTCAGTATTACGCATATTTTCTGCACTTTAGATGAACCTATATGTAATTATTGAGTATATATGAAGGTGTATTATGTTTTGCTGCATTTTGACTTCCATAGGAGTGTTTTCTAGAGATTTCAGTTCTAGTATGGCTAGTTACGACTGGAATTTATCTGCTGGAATGGAATATACTGTACATACATTTTAATAATCAGGGATGACATTTAATGAAAGATCTGACTAGTCAGCAATAACCTGATTATGCTGCTAATTTTGTTAAACTTTGACTATCACAATCAAAGTTTTTGTTCGTGTGTGTTCTTGAAGCACGAAAGCCACTGTACTACCATAAAGAGCTACTGTCATCCTTGTTTAAAAACAAAAGTTTAAACAATGAGGCCAGTAGTCTTTTCTTCCCATCTTTATAGCCAAGGCAATGTTTTGAAATCATCTTGGTTTTCACATGTTACTGTCTGTAATCAGTATGATTTTGAAGACGTTTATCAGATCAATATTCTCTTTTTATATAGACTTGGATTATCACTTGCTTTTATCTTCAACTGCTCCTACTTAATCCTCTTGTCAAAGCCGAAAGTCCCTGTGGGAATCCAGTGACAGATGATGTGAATGACATTACAAAACTGGTAAGTGACTTTTAAAAAAAATCCTCTTCTTAAAATATTAAACAATGGAAGGAAGTAAGGACACCTAAGTTTTAAGGAGAGATTAAAGTAAATATTCTGATACCTTTTGGATAACTCCATTCTGGAGACCAGAATGGTAAACCAGATTGGTGACCAAAAGTGTTTAGAACTGAAGGATATTTGGCCCACCTGAAATCAATTGTTGGTATTGGCCCAGTTTCTACAATATTCACATAATTAAAAAAACACCTTTACATTAAATGCTTTTGTTAGCAGGCTTAGCAGATAGTTTCAATAAGGATTCCCTCTTTACCCTTAGATTTGATCCAGGTCACAACTGAAGCAGAATAGGGAAGAGTGATCATGTAGGATAACTTGTACTATCCTTTTATACCAGTTTGTGTTTAATAGGACTTCATTCTTCAGGGTTGTCAGACTGGCACCTGTTTATTAGAATTAAATTCAATTCAACATAAAAAAATATTTCTTAACTGTTAATCACATGAGTGCAATGTTCAGCTAAGTATAGATATAAGGCCTTATCCTTGACTGGTTTCATCTGGTGCAGCTCTATTGGTGTAGTTCATTGACTGGAACTACGCTGATTTCGAGCAGCTGAGGATCTGGTCCATAGCTCTTAATTGTTCAGCAGTAAATATCCCCTAACAAGCCCTATCATCCAGAACCTCCCTTCAGCCCAAATTGTTGCTCTGATGTGGTGAAATGGTTGCTATTGTTAAGGTTGCATTAAAGACTTCAGTTTCTAGACTTCAGTGTTATGTTGCTTACATTTAGTGCCAGCACATCTCAGATATCCTTATCCTGTTTAATTTGGGCAGTTCTCATGTCCATCAGGCACACAGTGTATTCTCCTAATTCCTCAGTTTGTTTTCTGTGTTCTTTCTCAAACACTTAGTGCTTCACCGCAGTCCCCTTCAGCTTAATTCCAAATTATTTAAATGTTCATTCAGGATAATAGTTTCTGTTTGAAGAACATTCTGTTTTGTTTCCTCAAATGTTGTAAGAGTAACTTTAAATAACAGAACTGATTGTGAGGGTTAGCTAAATAAAGGACAAACTATTCTGAAAGAAGATCATCACCAATTTTTATGAATTGTCATATTTTCAGATGGAATAAATCTGTTAGCTCTTCCAATTTAACAATATATGGCTTAAAACTGAATAAGATGTAAACGTAGGGAGCAATACATTTGCATGCAATATGAGCATTCACACTGTTTTCCTGTGATAGCTCATCTTAATAGGATGATTAGCTTAAAAAACTTCACTCCTATATGAATTTTGTTACCTACATCCGTTACAAGAGCTAGCACCTAAGGGCTAGACCCTGCAGGTGGATCCATGTGGCAGATGACTGTGCCCGTGTGGTGAGTAGAATTTAGGCCTGGGAATAATACAGAGACTAGAAGGGAAATTTTTTCTATTTTTTCCAGTTCACTTACTTGTGTATTCTCTCTCCCCTGTATGGTCAGTTTATGTGAGTGTGTCACACACAAGTCATCACTATAAAACCACAAAAATTGGGAGCAGGACTTGGAGATAGGTGTCGTACCTTAAACTACTTTAACTCTTTTTAAAAATTAGACTATTACAAGTTGATGGTGCCCTTTTAAGTATACTGCACTATTGAGAGCTTGTCACTGGGAATGGCATAGGGAGAATATGTATTATGGGTCTTAAACTACAGTGGTTTTAGAGCCTAAAGTCTTGTCAACACTACCGGGGTAAGTTGACGTAAGTTACGCTATTCCAGCTATGTGAATAACATAACCGGAGTTGATGTAGCTTAAGTCAACTTACCGTGGTGTCTTTGCTGTGCTGTGTCTATGGGAGACTTACATTACTCTTCTCTGGGAGCTGGAGTATGGAGTCGACTGTAGAGCGCTCTGCCGTCGATTTAGCGGATCTTCACTAGACCTGCTAAATTGACCCCTGATGCGTCAAACACACCTGTATACAAGGGTGGAGAGTAATTCATATCAAGCACTGATTGTTCAGACTACAGCAATAGCAAAGTACAGTATTACACAGAATACTTCAAAACTGAATTGGTTCGGCAGGGTTTTCAGGTTTCTGTAACAATGGACTATGGATGAAATCATGGCTCCACTGAAGGCAATGAAAGTTGTGCTACTAATTTCAGGATGTCAGGATTAAATGCTCTTCATACATGCTATTCCCTTCCTCTCCAAAGAAACCTTTTAATACTTAAATTCAAAGGAGGTATTGCCTTTATTTTGGAAATGGCTGGGTAGTGAAATGATAGCAGTGTATTTGGAAACATGAGCTTTTATGTTGATTTGTTGCATTTCTTTTATATTCATTAACATTTTATGATCTAGAGATAGTGTATCATTAATGCATACAAATGTAGATACTCCAAAGAGTTAAGTGATCAAACATTCAGTTTGGGCATCATTTAAAATATATAAATCTTTTAACTTTAAGCATTTTGGCAACATTTATGCACTTCAAAGCAAAATATCTGAATTGAAATGAAAAATGCCTCTGGTTATCACTGGTTGCAGGAGATTGAGTTACAAGGATCAATCATGTGTAAATGGGGAGCATAATAAAGTCTGTTGTTTATTATTTTTATTGCTGAAGCACCTAGAAGCCCCCAGATATGGAGCAGGGACCCATTGTGCTAGAAGTCTACATAGTGAGTTTCAGTTCTGGTGGTATAGATTTGCCTTATTTCTCCATTAACCCAAGGAACTTGTTTCAAAGTTCCACATTATATACCTTAACTGTTCCTTTCTCACTAAAACAGACTATAGTTCCAGGGATGCCACAGGAGCTAATGCTAAATGCACAATTATATCGTTTTGCCTTGAGTTACTTTAATGTTTGTGTACAAGGGCCAAATTCTACCTTTAGTTACACTTACTGATAGGTAAATTTGTTAGTCTTGAAGGTGCCAGAAGTACTCCTTTTTCTTTTTGCAAATACAGACTAACACAGCTGCTACTCTGAAACCTTACATTTAATGTAACTCAGTTTGTCTTTATGCTGATAGTGCCTCCGTACAGAGGTTGATTTGTAAGTCATCTTACATCATCCAGTCTAGTATCTTGACCTGTCGTTCTCACCTCTCATCATGAATGTCCGGACATCAAATTAAACTCAATATGGCCAAAACTGAGTTCTTGATTTCTCCCACCCGCCAAACTCTCTCCTCTCCCCTTTATTCTCACTCACTGTGGAGAACATTGCCTGGATGTCATCTTTGACTCTGTCCTCTCACTGAATCCTTATATTCAGGCCATAAATCTTGCCATTTTTTCCTAACATAGCACCTCTATAATCTGTATTTTTCCCCTCTCTGTTCACACAGCCCAAGCTCTCATCCAACCCCTCATGTCACACCTTGACTACTGCAACCTCTTCTTTCCTGGACTTAACTACTGTAATCTCTCTGCTCAAGTCTATTCAGAATTCTGCTGCTAAAATAATCTTGGCTTAATGTCCTGACCACATCAGCTCCCTCCTGGAGTCTCTCACCTGACTCACCTTCATCTCCAAATCAAATATACACTTGTTGGCTTTGCCTAGAGCCCTTCATAACTTAACCCCACCCAGCCTATTTGTTCTAATAACCTATTGTGATGTCAACCCCTGCCTTTGCTCTGCCAGCATTCTCAGACTTTACCACCCACCAGTCAGTTTCTCCCATAATCATCTCCAGGGTTTCTTTCATGCTGCCCCTTATGCGTGGTAAAAATGCCCTGTTAAAATCTAAACAAGCTCTCTTCTCTTCCTTCTGCTCTCGCCCTAAGACTTATCTCTGCTGTGATGACTACAAATGATCATCATGGCTAGGCAGTTGATGAACTATGGCTATTCCTCTTCTCCTTTCTTTTTCCTACTCCCAACCTCTACCTCAATTAGATGGAATACAAATATAACTAAGATGTGCCAGTTCTTCACCAGATTAATTTGCTTGTATGTTGCTTCCCCATCCTGTACTGTTCATAAACTTCTGTTAGATTCTAAACCCTTCTGGGCAGGGATTCAGTCTTTTCTGTGTTTGTAAAGAGACCAGCATAATGGGGACCCAGTCCCAAATGTGGTCTTTGGGCATTATCATTACATAAAGATTTAGTAGTAATAATTTGGAAGACAATGGAGTTGCTCAGGTGTAAAGGGAGTCAAAATGCATGTATAAAGTGCCTTGAGCTTAGCTGTTGTTCTATAAAACATTGTTCTAGTCTATTAAACCATATTTTATTCTATTAACATAAAAATATAGCATGCAGTTTGGAAATCAGCATTTTAGTATATATGCTATACGCCAGCACTCTACTATCAAAGTAAGGAATGAGGAACTTCCAGTAATCTCTGACTATGCGGAATGTTGGACCGTAATCAAGTTTATATTGAGTAATAGACTGAGGATCACATTTTGCTGTTATAAAGTGATGCAAGTATTGGTTTCAGTGGTGTTAGTCTGGATTTACACTAGCATATCAGAGCAGAATTAAGCCCCCCCCCTTTTTTTCTTTAGTCTATAAATATTTGCATGGGGAACATTTACCAAAATTTAGGATTTGAAAGAACTAGTTCCTGTAATATACTGAGGTCAGTGGGCATATATCACCATTGACTTCAGTAACAGCAGGCTCAAGTCAAAAGAGATTTAGAAATTATAAAGATTACAGAAATTATATATTTGTCTAAATAGATAGTGATTCTTCTGATTTATATATATTCTGAAGTCGCTATAATCTAATATTGCAACATAAAGAAATACTCTATAAAATGCTCCTAAAAAGCACAGAATTTAAATGAGCAAAAGTGGTTTCTTTTTAGAGAAATCTTATCTACAGAACTTTTAATCTTTTTATTTAAATAAAGTTTTCTCTGAGATTTGAGTGACAATTTTAATGTAATATTCAAAATTTAATCCGTGGGAGGAGAAGTGGGTATTAGAACCGGTTCAGTCAGCCCTTTTTTAAGGGCATTTGGAAGCCATAATT